GTCTTCTTCTCTCCCAGACTTCAGAATGTGGAGGTGCTGTCATATCAGCTGGACAGATACATACAGAGCACCAAGAAAATCTGTGACAAGTTAGAGAAAAGGTAAACTGACATTTCATTAGCAAAATAATGTGCACATTTGACAAACTGCTTTAGAAAATAAGTGTAACTGTGTCTTCACAGCTCCTTCAGTGAGTTTTGTCTGAAGAACACTATGGAAACTGTGGTCGACCTGGATGTGGATTTGTCTGAAGATGACATGCAGAGGATGCTTTGTCACATTAATCAGCTTGATGAAATCAGGTGAGTATCACCCATGTGTGTGTTTTGGCCATGGATGTTTGTCATGTCAACAGAGTTGTACAAGGTGTTATTAATTACAGTGATGGAAATGTAATCAATATTCCTGATCTTCAAAACATTGGTTAGTACACACTGTAAACTATAGGAGTGCAGAACAAAATACAGTACAAGATTGTTTTCTTCACTGTTGATATTCTGCTCTGCATAAAGGACACAGGTCACACAACGCTGCACTTGTGCATGATCCTCAGAGGATGAAACCTAACAACTGTAATGATCCTCTGATTTCACCTCTGTGTGCCACCATGAGGCTGACATTTGGGGTTTTGTGTGAAACACTTTTTGAATGGATTGTGATCAGTTTATGCAAAGCAAGTTTAGTAAATGTCCCCCTCTTGTCAGGATTGGCAAGTAAAGCTGCCAACAATATTAATGGTGAACTCAATTAAAGTGCCAGATGAGGTAAAGCAGAAAATACTGTCTTTTTACTGAGCACAACACAAGCATACAGTGCAGGAGTCCAGAATCATAATCAAGTCGATTATACCAGTCCAAGGTCAGTGCCGGCAAACACACACAGCAGAGGGATCCACAAGCGAGAGGTCAAAGAGGGAAGGCCGATAATTGTAACACAAAAGACAGGGAGGGGTGAACCGGTGTTTGAGTTCCTGGAAGTCCTGCTCAACTGTCCTGGACCACGCAAACCTCATCTTGGTAGAGGTGAGCTGCATGAGGGGGGCAGCCACCGTGCTGTAGTTGTTTATAAAGCGTCGGTGGAAGTTTGCGAAGCCCAGGAAGCGTTGCAGGTCCTTCACACAGGTATGAGTAGCCCAATCAGTGACTGCAGTGATCTTGGATGGATCGGCGTGGAGTCTTCCCTTTTCAACAATGAACCCCAGGAACGCCACGGAAGCGGAGTGGAAGATGCACTTCTCTGCCTTAATGTACAGGCGGTTTTCCAGGAGTCAAAGGAGGACTTGGCGAACGTGCTGAATGTGCTCTGTGAGAGAGGAAGAGTAGATGAGAATGTCATCGAGGTAAACAAACACACAACGGCCAAGAAAGTCACGGAGGACGTCGTTGATCAACCCGTGGAAAACCGCCGGGGCATTGGTGAGGCCAAACGGCATCACCAGAAATTCAAAGTGCCCAAGCGGGGTCTTGAAGGCAGTCTTCCACTCGTTGCCTTCCCATACCTGCACCAGGTGGCAGGCGTTCCTGAGATCCAGCTTGGTGAAGACTGCTGCACCCTGAAGAGACTCAAAAGCAGAGGAGAGGATAGGTAACGGATATTTGTTTTTGACAGTAATTGCATTAAGACCATGGTAATCAATGCAAGGATGGAGGCCACCGTTCTTCTTCGAGAGCCGGCTGTTGGGCAAGGTGGCTCCTGGATACAGGTTGAATAGCACAGTCATAAGGTTTATGGGGAGGAAAAGAGTCAGAGTCAAGGTGCTTGCTGAACCTGTTGAAGGCTGTGGTAGTCCGAGGGCACAGAAGACAGATCAGGTAGCTTGGGTGATGGAGAAGCAGGAGGAGTGGTGGGTTGTCCAGCCAGGAGGCAGGTGGATGCACGGCCGGGACTCCATTGCGTGATGGCGCCAGTAGTCCAGTCCAGAGTGGGATTGTGTTGGACCAGCCAGGAGTGACCCAGAACCAGTGGTGTGTCTGGGCTTGAGATGATGTGGAAATGGATGTCCTCTTGGTGGTTGCCAGCGATGGTGAAACAGAGAGGCGGGGTTTGGTGTGTGATGTGGACAAGCAGCCGGCCATCGATGGCCCGGGTCTCTAGGATGTGGGGCAGCGGCTCAGGAGAAAGGCCTATTTGCTCCACCAACACCGGATCCATGAGGTTACCACCAGCCCCGGAGTCGATGAGGGCTTGGTGGGAGGTCGTCTGGGAGGATGTCTCTAGAAGCACGGGGAGAATGCTTATAAGGGGGTAAAAACAGGCATAAACAATTGAGTGCTGATTAAAGTAAACGTAGCTGAGATAGGGTTATGTCGTGTCAAAATAAAAGCATGAGACCGGAAACAGGCAGGACAGAATCATGACACCTCAGTTGTTTTTTTTTTTTATATCTAAATCACTAAAACCAAATACAATTGGAGGTGGCCTCTGACTTGACCAGCAGTAGTTAGAACCTCAATATATTTTTTTTACTGATAAAATATTGTAGCCAAATCTGCTTATTTCTGTTGTATGGACTTGTCTGTGCACCTTGACAGTGAAGTTGTGCCACAATGTCCTGCTGTATCTATACTTTTGTATTTCTGTTCTATGCTCATCTTATTTAGTCTTTTAGGCCCCTAATGTGTGTTTAAAAAATGTAAAAAAAAAATTCATATTAACTAGCATGGTAACTGTTGATATGTGACATGTAATTTATTCTTTGTTCTGTGTGCTATGTGTAAGATTGACAGCCAAGTAAATAAGTCTTGTAATTCTCCTGTTTCAGTTTTTCAGTCCCTAATGATAAAAGTCCACCGAAAGAAAAAGAAATTCAAAATCTTAATTATGCATTAAACTGATATTTAAAAAAGTAAAACCTTAAAACACTGATTGTTTCAATTATGTAATAATTTCTATGCTGAAAAATGTAACTGATGACTTTTGAAATTTTATAAAAACACAGAGCTGTTCAGTTAGACAGGATGAGGAAAGGGGCAAAGATCTCCAGTGTGGCAGGCAGCTCAGTGGGGGCGGTTGGAGGCGTGCTTTCTATTATTGGTTTGGCGTTAATTCCTGTCACAGCTGGATTGTCTCTAGCACTAACAGTGACTGGGATCGGGATGGGAATCACCAGTGGAGTCAACAGTATTGTCACCACTGCCACAGAGATCGGAGTTAATAGTAAGCATCAAAAGAAAGCCAGTGAAGTCCTCCAGAGCTTCATGGAGGATGTGCAGTGTCTCCAGCTTTGTCTGGAGGAGGCCACCAGTCAGCCAATCACTGATGTGGAAACAAGTGAGAAAAATGTGGCTGAGGAAGCTGTCAAGGTGTTGTGTAAGGTTGGTTCCATTGGAAAAAAGATAGATTCAGCTGTTAATGCTGCCTCAGCTTTTCAGATGTTAAAAAGTGAAAATCTTGTAGCAAGTGCTGGTCAGGTGGTGGCCCAGGAAGCTAATGCATTACGCAATGTGCCCAGGGTGGCCTCAGACATCCCAGATATCGGTCAGGCAGCAGTCAAAGGGTCACTTGCTCTCACCAAGTCAGCCAGGGCAGGGCTCATTGCACTCAATGCTCTTTTCATTGGCATGGACATCGGCCACTAAAAGGGAAGTGAGTAAGATAGATGTGGCTGTGGTAGTAGGCAAGGTGTTGTGGAAGGCTGGTTTGATTGGAAAAGGTATAGATTCAGGTGTTGATGTTGCCTCTGCTGCTAAGACAGCATCAGTCTGGCCAAAGGCAGTGACACTGAAGTGTCACAGTTCATCAGAGCCAGAGCTGCACTGTGGAGCTCTGAGATGGACTCTTGGCAGAAGATCCATGACTCTCTGAGTGAGGGCCTGCTGACATCAGAGAAAAAGCAGGGTGTCCTGGAGACACCATTTTATGTGATGATGGAGAAGAAGAAGCAAATTGAAACAGAAACAGAAATGGAAATTCCTTCTGATGAAATGGTGTCCTGGAGACACCATTTTATCTGATGAAGTGTCAAACAAACCCTAAATACTTTTAGGTGTTAACTGTAATTATCTTAATTTAAACCACTTCACTTTTTCAGTTAAGTTGAACTGATGAATCTATTGTCAATCCAGTTTCACAACATGCTTCATCATAGATGCAATTAAGTAATATGTACTCTATCTAATA